AGTCCTCCTTTCTCTACGTCTTTTTTCCTTTTATTCTTCACGTTTATATCGGCGTCACGTTCGCGCTATCATGCTGCGATGATAGATATCCGGAATTACATTCGCGTTGTTTTACGAGAATCGCCGATATCTCGTGCAACGGTAAAAAAGATAATAAAACATTTTTTAAATCAATTTCTCATCCGTGAGATTTAACATTCATTCAAGATATAATTTAAATTAAGGATGATATTGTCCGGAAACGCGTGGAACTTGTCCAGGGGACATCTCGTAGTTACGTTTTGTTTGTACTTTACTGTCGGCAGGACCGCTGCATCTTTTCTGTAGCCGGTAAATGTAGGAAGAGAGTACAAAGACATTCGCCACGTAACGAATCCGGTTTACCGAAAAGCGCGCGGCCCTTGAAAATAATTTGAATAATTACCGGCAAGTTTTTCATCGAGGATGCTAAACAGCTGTAATCTGCCGCCTTTCTCGGTCTTTCGCGGGACGAAAGACAATACGAAGTACCCTTAATTTACTTAAAAGACCTTCGGAAAGCTGCTTTTTTTGCGGCGCCTGTTGATAACGTTTACCTTACGTTTCCTTGGGTAACGGCAGTCGAACGAAAACGAATTTTATTACTTGCGTAATTACGTCATAACAAATACAAAAGCAAGTGTTTACGTTACAGATATATTCGGACAATTTATAAGTATTACCGATTATCTCTTGTTATATCGGGGCAATTCTTAGCGGGACGTCCCGAGGTTCAAATATTAACAGACGCGTCGCCTGGAATCCTCTGAAGCACGTACGGTTTCTATTAAAGACAAGATACCCCCCTTTCGCAAAACACGCGAGTGCCAGTGGGGATGACTCGAGGCAAGCCCCCGGTAATAATTCCTCCGCCGAATTAGCGCCATAAGTTTGGCGCCGCGACAGCCACGGAGACAATATTAATCTACTTTGAATTTATGCACTCCGCGGTTTTCCACCGACCTAGCTTGTATTAAGTCTTCCTGCCGCTTTTTCCCGTTTTTCCATGAAAACCTCCTATGACGCAAAAGTTTTCTTCGAAAACAAATGAACCGAGATATTACTCGCGGGAAGGTTTTCTTGATCTCCCTGTTGCTTGGCCGCAGATATATATATATCTAGGTTTTGTAAATAAACGTCTCGATCTTTGTACATATTTTAACATGAATTCTGGAGCGTTCACATTTTTTTCGATTTGATTGTAGAACTTTAAGAACATATAACGGGTTTTCCGTATTTTCTATTTCGGGAAGGAATGCGATTTGAAATGAATTAATTTTTCTAAAGCTGAAGGAAGCTAGGTGCACCTAGACAATTGCTACGTTACGTCGGTTTATTAACTCTGCGGCTCGTACTATTAAGACGTGGTTGAGCAGGCGGAGGAGGTAAGATTCACCCTCACCGTGCAGACAGATAAATAACTCAGGACAGCCTGGGAATAACTTAAGACTTCCACTCTAATGATATTTGTGTAAATCCAAAAGATACTCGTAGCGAGAATGCTTGATATTCCATGCGTCTCTTATGTCTGAACGTATGCATTTATATAGATACATCGCGAAATTGAGTATAATAATTCGAAAAAGAGAAAAAAGAATAGAAACGTACGATTATTTTTCGAAACGAACCAAACCATTGTTACAACATTAACTTGAAACGCGTATCTCATCGATTATCTACAATGTTAACCCTTTAAAGCATACATTTTTCTATTAAACCATTTTTTATGAAACTGTATACGAGGGTTTTTGGGGTCGCTGATTACGAATCCGTTATCAGATTTTCATAATTCAAATTGGCGGATTCTAGATGGCGGAATTCCAAACTTAAAAAAATAACATTTAACTGTAACTTAACTATGCTAAGAAACATTATTTAGATATTATTAGGAGCCATGGAATTTAAATTTCAGTTAAAAATTCTTTTACAATATAAAAAATAGTATGCGCGAAATGACGGATGCAAAACTTGAAAACTTAAAAAATTCACGTACTTTGCATCCACCCCATTTTGAATTCTGAAAATCTGACATCAGATTTATAATGAGCGACCCCGAAAACCCCTTTGTACAAAGTTCTCCAGAAATAATCTTAAAAAACTTAGTCAATAATGAATTTTTCCGAAAAAATTGCTGTTTTTTCATTTTTGTTTAGTTATAAGACTTACAATAAATAGTAAAGACTACTCAACTTTTTTTATGTTCTTTTATCGCTAAGATACCCAAAAAATGCAAAAACCCGACCTAAATGCGGTAACTAGAAATGAAATGGCCAAAAAGTAAAGAAGTTGAGGTGGTAACGTGGGTTGCCACCATGCTTTAAAGGGTTAACGAATTATGTTTTTCAGTGAAACAAACCTTTTGTTCACGTACCCAACTATTCTCACACATCTTAATTATTATTAAGATATATTTATTAATGATTCCCGCGTCTATACTGTTCCGTGGATCTTTTCTTTTTGATCGTAAAACATCATGACAAAAAGTCGCGCGCATTCGCTCTCTAAAGCGACGCTAGAAACACGTAAAGCATGCGATAACCCGGTATCTCGATCCACGGCAAGGAAAAAGCGCGCATTGCAACCGTACCTTAAACCGTGCATTAACCTGGAAATAAACGGGGTGCCGTTCGACGTAGCACATACATTATGCGCCGAACTGCGCCGCGTTCCAGCATTTAGCCGCATCTCCGCGAGACCGTCAGCTCGCGTCCGGGGCATTTCTCTCGGTAAGTCCCGGCCGGAAAAAAAAGTTTTATGTTAAAGCCGAAGACCGCGGGAGCGGGCTCGCTGCCGGGGATTAAGACATTCTCGGGCTAATAATTTTCATGCCCGGCCATGAAATGTTTTGTCCGTGTCCGCCCTGCCTTTCTTCCGCGCAATTCGCGGCCGGCGAACGGCCGCGGGCGCGCGTTCCGTGTCGCGGCGGGCCGCGAAAATCGGCGCCGGGCCCGGGCGACAATTGGACCACCTTCCTGCGCTCGTCGACGAGCGATCGCGACGGTTTTCGGACGGATCCGCGGGATTTTCTGCGGACAATAGGTGTCAGTCGGGGAGAACGTAGTGCCTGAAGGTGCGCGGTTCGAGCCCCGAGTCTACAATTATGAGCCATACCACGTCGGGGCGAGCCTCATAACGAACTCACTATATTGCCGAGCATTTCAAAACTGGCCTTATACCCGTGTAGAGAGAACGCTCTTTACCTGGTTTCTCCCTTCCTTCGTCCTCCTCTTTACGCGTTCTCCGTGGCCAGCGAGGGGCGACGGGGGGAACGCGCCGGGGATAGAAGGCCCGAGAATAACGTTTGGCGATGAAAGAAAGGAACTTCGGAGAATCCGTACCGCGGAGACTATGCACTCCCGTTGCCAGCGGCCTCGATTGGAAGCGTCGACGATGACGTTGGAGTAGACGTAGCCTTATAACGCGCGATCGCTATGATTCAGAATTCTTGTCGAGGACCTTCCCGACGGTCCATTTTTCGAGTAGATTTTAAGAAAATTTCTCATTTTTTTTATTATTATTGAAACTGAGTATTTCTTATGTAATTTAATCATTTGCATTATTATGAGACTCATATATACCCACACGTGTATTTATTGTTTACATCCATCGGTTGGATTTGACATAAAGGCTCGAGGCACATTGAAATATTTTTCAGATATCGATAGACTAGGGCCCGTCCTCTTTAAATGACTTGTAGCCAATCAGAAGGCTCATTAGCCACTTTTAGAGGCGCTTTTATCGATAAAAGAGGGTTCAGAATACGGCCCTAGGCACTTATACAGACAAGTCTTAATTTTCACCGCATTCACTTCCTTACAGCCTCACGCCACGATAATCGACCTCTCTTTATTTTCGTAACCGCGTTGTATATTCACGTTGCCTTTGACTATCCGCTCCGGCCGCCGCGAGCATCTCTCGTCGTGGCGAATCTCTGGGATCATATACTTGAAAATAAATCACATTGCACAGAGGATGCTGCGGCCGGCAGGAAACATCGACCAGATGTGAGTCTCTATACTGACGTCGCGCGAGACACGTGTGTCCAAGCCATCGGAGAGAGAGATGACACCCGCTATATTTAGTTCTATGGGAAAAAGGGCTTTCAGAGGCGTGTAATCACACCTACGCGTGTTGCTGCTCACTCGCACTCTTGTGCCGACTTTTTAATTCGATTCGAAAGTCTTTTTCTTCCTTAACGTGATGTCATCGCGCGTACTGCATCGCTTCTTCTTTTTTTTTAGCAATCCCGGTAGTTTTGGTCTTTTATGTAAGAATTACTTTCGTCAATTTTTTGAAGGATGTCAAATTTAAGTTACATGTCAAGCGAAGTTGATCTTGTATACTATTATATCGATATCGATGCGTATATCCATGTAATTTATGAAATTTTATTGGTCGATTTACTTTTTAATGCGCTTAAAGATAAGCGGTGTAAAATGGTTTATTTTACTCCCACGTCTTTTTATACTTCGTTTTATGTACAGTATGTGCAATAATGTTAACATTATTTTACGTTATAATGCAGTAATATCAACCGTACGTATCGTAATAGTTTACACGAAATGTAGTCGTGTAATTACATGGAGGGGCGTAGATTGGTGGATCACATGTGTTCTTCGAGAAGACGCGTGGGAAGACGCTGTTATAGCCGTTGGCAGCTGTTCACACGTGTATCCGATGCTCAAATTTAATACGGATCATCTCTTTCTGTCTCCTCCAATGCTAAAGCTCCAAATAAAGCAATATAGACAATTTTTGTTACGTTATATCGTTTTGATTAAAAGAAGTGAATCATTCGTTTATCTCGAGTTACAAGTGCGTGTGTTGTGTTACGAACATTTGTTACATGCTTAAGAAAGCATGTCGCCTCTGTACTTTGAAGTTCATTAATTTGTAATAATATAAATAATTTGTACTAAAAATAGTGGCTTTCGTTTTCATGACCGCTGTTAATAACGTATCGCAAATGATTATGATTTCAGATCGACGCACCATTAGAAAATGAGACCGACGTCGAGTCCGATGCGCACAATTTCGATACTTTATCGCCAGAGAAGGGCTTCAAGGGTGAGTGAGAATAAATTTGGAATCTACTTTTCTCTTTCTCTCCCTTGCGATGGGTGTTTTAGAGCTATAGAGTACAATGCATGTATAATTGTGTGTGCGTGCACATGTGTAGCATATCGCAAAGTGTGAATCAGGTTGCAACACTAGGTGTATTACTCGTTGCTCGAGACCCGATGAGCGCGCGCAATTATGCGACGATAGGCGTGCTAACGACACGCAAACGCGCGTCACTTATAACACTACAATTTTGCGAAAGAGCGGAGATTTCTCTCGCCTAGTCGGAGATCGAAGGCGACGAGGATTTCTGGCGGGCGGCTGAAATTAAGGCATTCGTCGTAGATACACATACAGCGTATATACGAACGAAGCCAATCCACTTAAGGCGTCGCATCCCTCCGTCGTCACCCTTCCCTCCCTCCCTCCTCCCTTACTCGCGCCAGGGGTGGTCGGCAAGGTTTTGTTCTCGAACAAAAATCTGACAAATATGCCGCGATTTGCCGAAGAATGGAGGCGAAGTGCACCACCCTTCCCCCCCCCCCTCTCCTCGTGCCGTAGTAACTTCCACCATGGTCGAGGCATCCTATAACCCACCCTTCACCCTTTCTCCTTTCTTATTCTCCCGTCCTTTCTTAGATTTCCGTCTTCTCTTCCCGGTCCCTCGTCTCGAGACACGGAGCAGGGAGACGGAGGAGAGCGAGGAGGAGGGCAAACGGTGACTCTTAAATTACTTAGACCGAACAAAATGTAACAAATGACTGCGAATCGAGCCACTTATGCGATATTGGCCCATCACCACCATCCACGTATATTGATACGTCGCATTAGGGCTAGCCGGCACCCTTCGCCGTGCCGGACTCACTATCTCTCCGTTTCCTGTGTTTCGCTGAGGAGGAAGCGAAGCTTTCGTCAGGGGCTTTACACATTCGCTCTGCAAACAGGCCATCCTTGATCCGACTTGTGTTTCCGTAGAAATGAAATGAAATGAAATAAAAACCTCCCGAGTCGAAATTTTGGTACTGTTTCGACACTTTTAAGGGTAATTTGCACCTACTTTTGTTAGCTGATCTATACACCTACATAGATCAGCAATAACCTACTTTTGATGACATATTTTTTACACCTCCCTTGAATCTTTAATTTAAAAAATTTACACTAGCTCCTACTTAAAAGGACCTACTTTAATGCTAAATTGCAATGCAAAAGTAGAAATTTTCGACACTATCAGTTTTAAAGTAGAAGTAAATTTTGTACTTACAGTTCGACCTCTTTCACTGTCTTAGGTCCTACTGTGTACCAATAACCACAATAGAATTGAAGGTTCAACATAGGGCCAAAATTTCGACTCGAGCTGTCTTTGCTAATTCTCTCTCTGGCGCTGTCCGATCTCACGATTTCCCGATCGTGTTCGAACAAGACGAATGATGCAGTCAATCTTTAAAAAATAATGGAGGTGTAAAGCAGCCGCCAATTCCGGAGAGTTTCTCACGGAAGATCTGCGGTTTCGGGCCCTCGCCGAATATCGGCTTCTCTTTTCCTGCCCGCGCGCGCTCCTCGCCGAGTCCTTTCGTTATTAATGGTTTTCGCGAACTAGGTTCATTAAGGAGCTCACGAAACTCCACGGCGCATTCATGAGAGCACCACCCCTTCCAGTTCTGACGGGACGAGGGGTGGATATCGGGTACGCGCCAAGTGTCGAACGGGATGCTCGTGTAAATTAGTAGCATATATTATCATCGCGCTCTTGTCCTTCGTTTTTCAAATATTTTTATGTATATTATTGTTTCGCGCAAGGCATGAAATTATTATTTCCACCTTGCAATCTTTCATGTTTCGAAAGACGAGAAAGAATTGTGTGAATATATTACATATAAAACGCAAATGTTATTGGGTACGACTAATATTTTATACCGTTTATCATTTTAGTTGTGTCTTAATATTAATATTAACGTTTAAAAGTTAATATATTAAATAATATTTAATATTTAATGCTTCAATTATTATGATATTCGGTTAGATTTAGCAATAAGTAGCGCTCGGTAGCGTATTCACTAAGTAATAAAAATCTGTTCGCGACGAGGGGAAACTGTTATTCCACGCGATGAAGGAGATACGCAAGAATCGCCGGCATTTAAACGGATATCGAGGGAAAAACGACGCGATAGTTTGATGAATGAAGTCGTAATGAAGACATTAACGTGTTCGCTGCTCGCGCAATCGAAGGCAGGGGAAAAGGGCGATGCACCTGTCGCCAATGCGCACGATTACTCGACCTCGAGGCGCGATTTATATGCGCCGAATTATGTAAAAAAGAAGAGGGCATCGCCTTCCCCGACTTTTTCCCCGGCTGTCTCCTCATCTTCCCGCTACCTCCAGCACAGGCTGAAATTATGCTAGACGAGGTAATGCAATAATAAGTATAAGTTAGCCAGGAACCGAAGTCCCGCGAGAACGAAGGAAAGGAGAGAGAGAGAGAAAAAGAGAGACTTAGAAAGAGAGCATCTTCAGTACCTGCTGACTTGTATCGTTTAAGATGAACCCTGAACACGTCCACCGTGTCATTTGAAAGGAGGGAACAATGATATTTTTACCGGTACAAGTTGGATCTGTTTACGATACGTTCTTGAAGATCCGCACTCGTGAATCCGAATAGCGTGGTCGTTCGCATGCCCTCCACTGTTCGATCTTTGGTTTTATCGGTACATGTGCGTCGCGATAGCCGATGGAGAGCTCAGAATCGTCCGTGGAAATCCATCTCGCCCGTGGACCCGGCATAAACGCGTCGACCGCTCGCACGTAGAGCGACTTGGAGGCCATCGCCGCTCTTTTTTGCTATTAGCTAAGTATACCGCCTCTGGCTTATGTTAAGCCTCGGTAATTATTTGTCACAGTCAGCTACGACGAGAGACAGACAGAAGAAGATGTGACGAGGCAAGGGCCTCGAAGGGGAGACTTTCTCTCTCGGTTCTTCAGCGCGATAGGAAAGAGTCTCATTGATCGCAGTCCAATTAATTCTCTCTTTCTACATTTTTACGTTTTTTTTTCTCTCTTTTCTTTGTTTCCAAACATTTCTCTTTACGTATCAAGAAAGAGACGTCACTGATTAATTAAAATCTCTTAAAGTTGCCCGAAATTTTTATGAATAAATGAATTTGCTGAATGTGTGAAAATTCGCTAAGTTATAATAAATAGATTATATCGATTTCCTTTCCAATTTAAATTATCTATATATCTTATAAGTGTGTAGCTGCATTGAGAATATATTTTTAGTAATTTATATGATTTACCATATACTATTTTATTTCGAGGTCACGCAGTATAATTTGGTGTTGATCATCGATTTATATTACTTAAATGTGTTTGAGCATAATTTTCGTAATGTTTCTCGATTTCATGCAGCCTTAATCTCTTCTCCTCGTTACATTCTCGTCCTGCTCGTATCCTGCGGCACTTTTGCCCCCTCCGCCCCGTCATTTTCGGCGCCGTTCTCATCCTTAATGTGATTTTAAGCAGCGCCACGAGCAACACCATCGACAAGAGGATTTCCGTGGTTACTTGCCAAGTATTTCACTTCCGTCGCGTGCTTTATTTCCACGGAAAAATATAGATAAGGCAATTATGAAACAGTTATTAAAAAAATGTTAATTCCACCTTTCCAGCGATGATTTACGACGTTTAATCTTATAACGTTTTTATACGCGTATTAATTTTTATTGTGCTTGAAGTATACTTTGCACGTTTGTCTTATTTGACTTTACGCATCCCTTCATGAGGAAAGATCTTATTATTTTATTACATTTTTACTCCTCTACTCGAAATCAACGCAAAGGAATTAGAAATATATATTATGCTGATAAGCACTTCGTTATACGAGCCCATAATCCGTACACGTCACCCGAAACAACCTTACGTTTCCACATTACACTAGGAAATCATTCTGTGGATAGATAAGAAAGAAGACGGACGAAAGGGTAGACTCCATTCTCCGCATAGCGTGCGGAAAAATGTTTCACGAGAGTCAGTCATGTGTAAGGCGTTTCGTCCTACACATTTCGTCAGTCCGATACGTATAGACGAACACGTCTACAAATCACACATACGATCGTTTGTATACAAATCTTGATGGGATCCACCCTCTATGAAACAACGGAGCGAGCTTTGATCGACTCGCTTGGCTTATTTTCTATAAAGAAAATTCCCTTCGGACTATAGAAGAAAGTTTGCGGGGAGAGAATAGAAATAAAGAAAGAGAAAAGATAGAAAGATGGATGAATACAAAAAACGACAAGCAATTTGGTTTCCTGTACGGAAAAAAATGTGACGTTTAATACTATATGAAATTAAGAGAAATGAAACTTTCATTTATGGAAAACGCCAGGATGTGATATTCTGCACGTCGGGGATATCGAGCGAATGTTTATTTGTGCATGCTATATTCTTAACGTTGTTATTCCTACACGTTTAGTGAGAATTGTTTGTTTGTTGCCTGCAATTTTCAGAAAGAAGAGGTACTGAGAGATTTCACCAACGTCGTTTAAATTGAAGCTTAGCTTAATTCATTCTCTTTCCAACTGTTACTTTACAAAGAGACAAACGTGTAAGGGGATCCTAAAGTCGCTGGCGAATTCGATCAGTGTCGATAAGATAGGAGACGGAATTAAAAACGTCAATTATCAACATTTTTAATTTCAAGTTCTACTCGGTCCGAGAAATTTATAGCCGATTAATTTGCAACTTTTACGAAAAAGCAGCATTTTATTAACTACACATTGCTCAGACCGAGATTTTGAATCGAATTCTAGCATCGTCAATACCATGGCTTTACTGACAATCTAACAGATGTTTGGCAGCGACTTCTCTCGAAAAAGCCTACAACTATTTCTACACGACATGCTGCTCTTTTTCTCTTTTTCTAGACTTGCGTTTATTAGAAGTGATCTTTTTTTTCTAGGCTATTAATCTTAGTACTAATTGCACGATATTGTTCTTATATGTTGTCCCTAGAGTGTGTTGGTCTCATTTTGTGTATTTAATATTTATTGTAAAATTCTTGTATCAAGCAAATATTGTCGTCAAGTGTACCAAAAATTAGTAAAGTTTTTTATTTTTGACATAAAGTCGACCAGCATAGTCTAGATTTTGCTGCGTCCTTTAATTCCGTAAAAGAGTTTTGCCTTTCTATAAAGCCAATTGAAAGATTACTTTTAACAAAGAATATCGATAAAACAGACGGCTTTAGGACGATCGAGGCAGGATCGAGCAGTAACGCGACAACGCGCGGGTCGACGTGTCGCTGTAGTGTTTAGAACTCACACGTTAATATTAAGCCGGTATTCAGATGCCTGACGACCGAAAACTGTCCTGTTTGTTATTGTGTCGCGCGTATCAGTCGTTATTTAAAGGTTTCTGTGTGACTTTTTGTTTCAGGAACGGAACTGGTGCCGAGCTGATCTGTATGAACATAATGTAGCCAATTTTCGTTTACGTTTAATAATAATAATAGTCGATTTAACGCAAGATATTTTTATACACAATCTATACATTTATGTATATACATATATATCCACATATATACATATTAAATATATAAATATTTGATCCTTATATGCACGCATCCGTTACCAAGTTGTGGAAAAAAAGAGTATAATTCTACTGTTGTGTCTTTACAACTTATGCTACATGAGCTATTTGTTAACAAAGTAGTAACGAACAGATTTGTATAACGTAAGGGAAAGATACTACTGAGAGCAGTGGAACAAAGCTTGTTGGGTCATTCATGAGTACAATGATTTTGTAATTCATTAAATTCTTGTGGATTGGAGAAATAAAGTAGAAACACGGATATGCTTCCTCTTTCTTCGTTTTATATATTTGTTTTTATGATCGAAACGGTCCATACATCTATCCCGAATGTATATTAACGCGAAAATTTTAATGATAGTTTTATAGATCATGTATTTAATTCGTTTGTAAAAATATATGGCTTGATAATACATTTACGATATTTATTGCCTTTATGTCTGATTCCATGGTTCGTACACTATTTATATTATTTCTTTTAAGGATATCCAGCACGATACGCATTTCATTAAATAGCGACACGCTTTGCTGCGTAAATGCAGGCGAGATGCCATATTACATAATCAATTTATTTATGTATTATTGTGCTAAATAACTTATAATTTAATTTAATAAGTTAATAAAAAACATAAGATCTTTATTTTAGTGTATATATTTTACGATTTTTTGTCTAATGTGTGAAGCGGAACTTTAGGTGTATAAAAAAATCGAAGAGCATAATTTTTTAGCAACCGATCAAATACTGTTCAAGGCATATGAATTTTACTGGAATAAAATAAAATAAGAATTTACAGAAAAGATAACGTGTATAAAAAATCTAGTTTTACACATTTATTTTAATAATACAGCAGGCAATAGCAGCAGCTTAGATTAAGCGGGCTTTCGGAATTCTCAAGAGATTTTTCTAAGAGTCTGCGATAGCTAAAGCGTGCAAGCAAGAAGAAGAGAAGACACGGGGTATGTATGTGTGTGTGTGTGTGTGTGTGTGTACGTGCGTTGGTCGCGCGTTAATTAGTTTGCAAGGAGTTTAAAGGCAAGCCTGGAAGGACTTCGTCAGGCTGCTAGGTGGTCCCGAAGCCTCGAGTCATCATTGCCTCATTTACTTCGTAAAACAATCTTGCCGGCAGTTCAATGGGCCTAACTATATCAAACTTGGCACCGCGTAATTAAACTTCGTTGTAAACCGGTCGAAAGGCAACAGGGTTTACGTGGCTAGTCGGAATTTTGGTATCCGATATGGGATAATTAACGAATGGCCTACGACTTCAAACCGTCAATTTAATTTATCGTTGCACTATTTTTTACACTATATGTTTTCTAAACAATAAACATTCGATCATTTCTGAACGTATTAAAGCGTTATCAACTGCTATTACAATGAAGTTTAAAAACTAATAATGATGAGAATAAACTTGTAAAAAAATAATGGCAAAAAATAATGAAATTGAAATGTTTTATAGTAAGGAAGATAAATTGGCAAATGTATTTGTCTTGCGGTAAACGTGTCAATAGACCGAAAAGGAATGAAACGCGAGTAGCGTAATTTCTGTAACGAGGCAAATTGATGCAAAAATGCAAAAAATACGCACGAGATTGTCTTTTGAGAAATCGCTCCGGATTATTAGGGTACGCCAGATTTTCACCGTACGACCAACGTCGAGGGTTAAGCTGCCGTTTTTACTGATTTTCTTTCTAATCCTTACAAATGTCGGGGTCATCAAGTTTTTTTTCCCTAATTCGTATCGCGAACCGACCCGCATGCGAGCGTTAATCTTGACAGAACGGATCGTGGTTTTGTTTAGGAAATGCTTGTTAAACATTGTCGTATTATTAACAAGCGCGATACGGTATTAGGTGCTGTTCGTTAATTCTGTTAAAGCGCGATATCTTTATGTAGTTTCTGAAATAATTTTTTTTCTCGCTATCGCGTACCTCGACTAACGCTAAGACAGAATCGAATCAGTCGTCGCGGAGGCACTATAGAGCTGCCATTCACTCTCGACCTCGGCGAGCTTCTTTCTGCGAAGCCGAGGGTCGCCCGAATTCAGCAGCAGTGCGGTCTGGCCACGATTTCGGAGTCTGCGCGAATCTCGCACGATACACACGAGTGTCACTAATCTCTTTCTCGAGGACAAAACTATCTCCGTGGCGTAGACAATGGGGAGAATCGCTGACGAGTCAAGCGCAAACCCTTGAAATGACAAATGACAGGATGTATCCTAAATACACCGCTGCCGGGGTGTCCTAATTTCTTCGCTTCTCTTCGACGTTCGTGTATTTCTCTCGTATCTAGTTGACGCGGTAGAGTTCAGAGAGCCGCGGCATTTTAACGATAAATATTACGCCTGTGTTCTCAACAAGTGCATATATTTAACAATTATTTATTTCTAGTTCGGTAGATTCATTACCTACTAAGTTTCATGATAAAAATGTAATTTTCACCAAACGTTTCGTTTAGACGATATTAGTTATATAAGATTCAAGGGAGGAGTAAAAAAAATATAATGTCATCAAAGTAGGTTACTGCTGGTCTATGTAGGTGTATAGATCAGCTACGTAGGTGTAAACTATCCTTAAAAGTGTCAAAATAGTACCAAAGTTTCGACTCGGGATTACTTAGGTCCGAGCAAGACGAAGGTAGCCCAATAATTTTAAATTTTATTGTAGATAGTTTCATTTTTATTGCATTATCAAGGCAGTTGCGAGTGTGATTCAAGAAGTTATGTGTAATTGAAAAAAATCTTATATATTTATGCACACGTATCTCGACGGTTCATCGTTGTAACGTTATTATGAGCCGGTACGATTACATAAATACTAAAAACAGCTGTATATGGCAATGGAAAACTACTCGCCTCCTTATCCTCCTATCGTACTTCGAGAAATTACCTTGGAGCGAGGTGGAGTCCGCGGAACTAACGCGATAGAAAAAAGCACGAGAACAATAATGAGGCTCCTTTAAACGTACGCGAGCCTTTTGAAGTGGCAAACGGTACTGACTGCGAGAAATAGAAACGTGTTAGCGAGAGCCGTAATTAAGCCGGGCCCTCAGCGGCAGCGTCGCTGTTCCTCCTTTCCCTCCTTCGCGAGTACGCGATACCTACCTCTTCATAGGCACATCGCGCGCTCTAATCTATCCCGGGACGCGCCGGCATAATTAATTTATTCGCGTTTGCGGCTCGTTAATTGAATAACCTTGGGCCCTTGCTCCGGATGGTTAATGAGCGCGGAGACGCGGTAGCCGCGAGTCTCATTAACCGGATCGCGAGGCGCCTGGACGCCCGAACCCCGGAAATCCGTGCCCCCTGGCGTATCACGTGCCCCGGTTCCTGCAGACAGAAAATCAAATCGCCGGACGAGCGAGAACGAGTCTAAAATTCAGTGAGACTCGAGTACCGTAGGTCTTCGCGCATTCGTTCCGTTCCTACTTCGTTCTTAAACATCGACGTCGCGTAAAAGGTCGAAACTTTTTTTCTCTAATGATATTTAAAAAATTGCGCGAACACAGTTACATCACCAGCTTAATTCGTGTTTCGGCAACCCTTCTTTGTTACACAAGTTAATGTTTATACATATCACCACCACTTTGTCATTCGATTATCTACTACTCGCGACTGTCCTCTTTCGGTTCCGGTGAGTTATCAAATTTTATTTCCCAACGAACTTTGTAACGAAATTCATTTTGTTCTTTTGGGAATATCAAACGTAATTTCTCACTCTTTCTTTGGCAATCACCATTTAAAGCATTTTTTTAACTTGTCAGAGGATAACTCTCGATGACAGTAGTCCTTTAAGTGTTGTATGTTACTTGTCTATTCAGACATTAAATTTATTGTTCTTATTCGCAAATTAAAAAAAATTTTTACATTAAGGTTTTTGTAACACCATATTATTTTTTGATCTCAGCTTCACTGAGGATGACCCGAAAATGGGTCGAAATGTTTGGATATTTTAATAAATTAATTTAAAAGTTCCACATTGAATAATTCCGCACGGACACCTGCGGTTGTCTCGCATTGGCCCTTTCTCCCTACCTTACTATTTATTTTTTCTCTCCCCCCCCCCACTCCTGTTTTCTATTGAAGTCGAAGTCAGGACGGGTCAGAAATGCGACCAAGTATCTTCTCTACGTTCTCACTCCCTTCAAGTCGGAGGAATGTATTCGCTCCCGGGACACTCCTCGCGCGCACCTCCAGTCTGCACGCAATTTCCTTCCTCCCACTGGCCTGTGCCGTTCTCGTCGTTGCTCCTTGTTCGGGATTCTCGCGGGCATCGATGCACGATCGATGCACGATCGATTAATTCCCTAACCGAGTCCATATTCATCGCCTCGCTTTAAACCGCTCTCTTTGTTTGTTTTTTTATTTTTTCCTACGCGCGTTGGGCCTCCTCCTTAACTCGGATCGCAGCAAGATGGCCGCGGGCTCCGGTAAATAAGCGACTGTCATCTGACGCCCGCAAAAAGCGGATACACCGCGGCAGACTGGTCTCCGTGCTCCCGTCTTCGTCCTGCCCTCTCACCCTCGCTCTCGATCTCTCCCTTTTCCCTCTTCGTCTCTCGCTCTCTGGCCTGCCACCTCCCTCTTTCCCCGGTCCTTCTCTCGCTCTTTCTCTCTCTCTTCCTTCCTTACTTTTATTTACCCGTTCGTTTATTCCAGGCATCGTATCTCCCTGGATCTCCCCCCGTTCCCTCCTCCTTTTCCCTCTTCGACTTCGCGTTCCTCCTTTGCGCGGTCTGAAGATTAATTACAAAAAATCGCCGCGACGCGAATTGGAAACGTCGTTCCACGAACGGCGAACGGCCGAGGGACATGTGGAGAAAGGGCAGGGAGAGATATGTCCACCGATGAACTTTTTGGCCCGCGGAAGGTGGCCCAATAAGCGATCGGGCATTTCGGGGCCAGCCCGAAACGCAGGAGCGGGCGAGTTCGCCGCCGCGGGTTCAGTCGATCATTGCATCGCGCATCGATAACAGCTGTCGAACAGGGCCGGCGTAATGTATACGAAATGTAAATGCCCGTAGCCTTGTTTGTCGCCGAAAATGCGGGCCCTCCTCGCCCCGCGTCCTCCCCCATCGGAAACGCGAACCCGCTATCGACATGTTCGATTACGGCGCTGCCACTCGAAAAGACGCTCTTTAAAAATAACACACCGACGGTGGGAGCGAGTTAGAAAAGTGCAGAGAAGGACACACATTAAAAACTCATTAATGGCTTATGACCCTTCCCGTGTTGTTGACTCCTCGAAAACACGTTCCCCACCCTCGGTGCTTTCGCGTGTTAATGCCCTCGACATCCGAAATATATCGCTATCTTATCACACGGCATTTTTTGTTTGTCGCGTGTCCCGCAATTTCTCGCGAATCCAGGCACAGCGAGAAGCGTGGAATTCCGGCCGATAGAGGCCGCGAGTC